TCTATCTATCTATCTATCTATCTATCTATCTATCTATCTATCTATCTATCTATCTCCGTCAACAATAAATTCCTAGGTAGAGATACAAGGTGTTGATTCCTATCTCTCAAAAAAAGAAGAAAAGGAAAATCGCCCAACGGGTAAGAAAATACCGGTTTCTTTGATTTGCTTTTTTTTTGACGAGCTTCTGATTTCACCACGATGCCAGACTTAGATAAAACCATGAGCTACGATTATCAAACAGTCTACTATTGCATACCCACGATATATTTACTACAGTGTTGTCAAAAATTAGTGCTGCGACTTATCTTCAAATATCTCCTCAACTATCAAACATAGGTTCTCCAATTTTTGCACAGTGACTTGTATCAATTTATCTAAACAGATCAACATTTTTGTAAACACCTGCAAGCTGTATTCTAGAAAATTCCTTAATAAATATACCAATAAAAAATCCAAACGGGTGGTTTCTACAGATTTTTAAATGTTTACAGCTGGGGCAATATTGCTTTTAATAGCAAGTCCGTCAGGTTTTTTTGATTGGGACCTTATGCTTATTGAACGCATGTTTTGAGAGTCATTAGTGCAAAAATGTGTTCACTATAACAATAACTTCTTGTAACAAGTTTTGCAAGTAAAAATTGTCATTGATGTGCTGTGACGTAGGCCATGCGTAATCAAAATGTGTGTGAGAAGCGGGAAGTGCTGTGAATAATAACATTTTACGTGTGACAAAGCTTTCAAGTATTTTATATAAATTTATGAAGAACATTTTTAAAAATCTAGCCCCAATTGTTCTAGAAAAATATGATTTAGTTAAGACAAATTGATACAAACTGCTATGCAAAGTATAGATAACATTGATTCACCCGTTAAAGAGATATTTGAAGATAAGTTGCACCACTAGTTTTTGAGCGCACTTTAAGTCGCTACCCGCGTCGGTGGTGCAGCGGTTAGGCACTTCGTTGTCGCTCGCAGAGCACCCTAGTTTGATTTCTGAGTGGAAAGAAAAATGTATCTAGTATCTCCGTCTTTAAGAACATCATCAAATGCAACACCAGGGAACAGTGGCTGAATGGATGGGCATTGGGCAAAACTGGAAGAACTGTATTTGCACACATGACAGCCCCCAACTCTAAAGATGCAATAAATTCCCTGAGTAGAAGAGAACAAGTCACAATATTTCGCCTGCGAACACAACACATACCACTAAATTCCTACCTTAATAGGATCCGCAAGGATACCCCACCCG